GGCATAAAACAGTTTCCAACTTGCATACGCAGGTTAGCAACAGGCATAAAACAGTTTCCAGCTGGCATATGCCCTTTAGCAACTGGCATAAAACAGTTTCCAACTTGCATACGCAGGTTAGCAACAGGCATAAAACAGTTTCCAGCTGGCATATGCCAGTTAGCAACTGGCTTATAGCGGTTAGCATCTGGCATAAACCAGTTTCCAAATGGCATATGCCGGTTAGCATCTGGCATATACCGGTTAGCATCTGGCATAAACCAGTTTCCAACTGGCATATGCCGGTCAGCATCTTGCATAACCCAGTATCCAACTGGCATAAAACAGTTTCCAACTGGCATTGCCGGTTAGCATCTGACATAACCCAGTATCCAACTGGCATAACCCAGTATCCAACTGGCATAAACCAGTTTCCAACTGGCATATTCAGGTTAGCATCTGGCATAAACCAGTTTCCAACTGGCATACCATATCCCACTTTTGGCTCTAGTTTCTGTTTGAAAAAACAGCTCAATCTATAACAAACTAGAACTAGATTTGTTATAGATCATTTCAAAAGTATTATTCAGTACAGCTGACAAATGTCAAATTAATAGTGCCAATCTTATATGCAGTTGCAGTGACAACTTTTAAAGATTGTGTTACTTTATTTTAGCTAGACAGTTTGTGCAGCATTTTCTTTTTTATCATTATTAGGTACATTTTAATAGTTAGTTTTTACACTGTGTTTGTGATTGAATTTGTGAATATCTCTTTATTGATTCAGTGATTTGGTTCATAAATCTTTTTATTAAACCTTTATTACAAAGGTTTTGTTTGGGAAAAACTATTATGATATGATGTATTAAGCTTTAATCATGACAGCTAAGCAGAGCAGATATGGATCAATGTCAAAAGAGATAAAAACATATATATAAATATATAAATCCTTTAAACTTTATATTTTACTTTTTTTGTGAAGTTTTGTTTGTTACAGCTGTTTACAGCAATAAATATGTCTTTAAAGGTAAAACAACCACTATTAAGGTAAGCCTTAACTTTGAATTTTATTGGAAAAGGGAATTTTCTGCCCTTTTTTTTTTTTATCTAATAGCACTTTATTTTAATGCTGCTATCCTCAATCCTAGTAAAACATATTGGATTTTAAAAATAGGCTAATGGAAATACTTTATAGTATAACAGTGAATCGGCCTTTTCTTTTTAGAATGCATTTTTTTTCCTTTTCTCTTTAATGAGATCAAGTAATGCCATTTTGGTGCTATATATGTAACTGTTGTTTACCTGTAGATCCTTACGCTTTATAGTGTCAAAAGTAATGGTTACATAAGTCACTGAATAATAAAATATATTTACATTTGTGGAAGTACAATTAAATGGGAAATACACATTAAATAAGTAAATACTAGTGTTGCACCGACACCAGTATCGGACGGGGCCCCAATACTGCCCTAAAATGGTGGTATCGGTATCGGCGAGTGCCAACAAATAGGGCACCGATACTATTTTGAGAGTCATAGGTTTATTCAACTATTGTCACCCATTCCAGGTAGGCAATAAAAAGTTCTACTGGATTCACTTTGTATTAGATTTTTTCCTGCTTCCCAAAGGTAGGCAGCAGCTTGACAAAGCCATGATGGCAATTATTTTACATTATTATGGTATCGGTATCGGCCGATACTGCACAGCCATGTATCGGTATCGGGGCCAAAAAAATGGCATCGGTGCAACACTAGTAAAAACATTCATTTGTTTTCTCTTAAAAACAATAAAAAAAACTTTCTCTGAAAATAAAGTAAATGTGAAAATCTAATGGAAATTTCAACTCTGAAATTTACAAATGAAGCGTTTTAATACATTTACTGTTTTTCAATGTATAGGTTTTATTTCTTTATTTCATTTTTTGGATATGCAGCCTTGCTCTGCAGTGGTACACTTTATTTTTTTAAGACTTAAATGTTATTATTACATGAAAAGAGAATGTTATTTGTTTATCTCTGGTTTTAAATAAAGCTCTGTGGAAATTACTTTTTAAACTAGCATATTATTATATAAAGAGTTGGTGCTGTAAATGATAAGTTTTATCTTACATTTTACTCTTTTGCAACAAAACTCTTTGTGTTTTTATACAAAATGCTTTTGTTACAAAATTTTTTACATGACCAGTAGAGTCGTTTTGTGAGAGTTCATCGCACTAAAGCAATAATAAAGCTGGAAAAAAACCAACTATCTTTGTGTTTTTCTTATTAAATTTGCCTTTGAGAACAATACTAAACTGCTTAGTACTTTTTTTTTTTTTACTTTATGGAAGATACTCATCTAAAGGAGAATGTGGTTGATAGATGAAATCCTCAGCATAAAATGGCTCCTGATGATGGTGTGTGATTAAAATATTTTAGGCTCATTTTACCTAAGCAAGCCTTAAAGCTCAAAATATTTTTAGGCTCAATTTGAAGGGAACATATTGGCTAATAACAATCTGTTGAAATGATATTCCAACATATCTATAATTAGGAAAAATATTCATATTCTTCACTTTTGATATAAAAAAATAAAAAAAAGATGTGAAACGATGA